GCTTGTGGGCAGGCGCCGGAGAGCCAGGCCAGTGAGAGCGACAACAGTGAATTCAGCCAATGGGCTCAGGGCGCTTTTCATACGGTGAATAGAAGACACGATCTTTATTTGGGGGATGAGGATGGGCGGCGATCCAGCAGAGAGCAGCATTCTCCTGATCTTGGGGATATTGAAAGGGAAAGGGTAAGGCAAATTGCGCGTGGATGGATGAATGAGAGTGGAATTGCTGATGACTCCTCACGCGTATCGACCAGGAATGAGACTCCGAGGGCAGAGTGGCTCGGCGAAACTGAACGGGAGAGAGTCAGACTGGTGAGAGAGTGGGTGCAGATGAACAGTCAGCAAAGGGAGTCACAAGATAGCGGGAGGGAGGGGCGTGAGAGTGAGAGGGAGGAGTCAGCAACCGATCACGAAGATGGTCAGCCAGAGCATGTCCGACGGGATTTGCTTAGGATTCGAGGAAGGCAGGCAAGGCTAGATCTACTCACGAGGATTGTTCGAGAAAGACAGAGGGAACTACAGGGTTTGTCAGAGCAAAGGGCAGTGTCAAACTTTGCTCACCGCAGCCACATTCAGGTCAGTTTGGTTTTGGACTTGATTCTCTTAGCATCTTTTTAACAAATATGTATTGCTGTTACATTCATGAATGCAAAGCTTTGAACGTTGCAAATATCTCTTTTTTGTCTCGATTTATATGCATGTTTTGGTTATTTAATATCACCTAAACTGTACCGCTAGCAATTGATGCAATTGCGTCAATGAAGTCAAGACTATGCTTTTAGTAGTTATGTTTGTTGCTTTTTCTTTTGTTCTGTCAGTGTTCAGGCAGCCAACCTTTCAGTGCCTTTTTTTTCTTCCATACGAGGCATTACAGACAAGATCTGATAGATTTTGAGGTGTTTCTTAATCTATGTTTTAGTTTAATCTATGTTGTAGGTGCTGTCATGGATAAATCACATGTAGGTCAGATTTTCATCAGTTGCAGTGATTTTAAATGTTTGGTTAGTCATTTTTTAGTATGTTTCTAAGTTACATATATATGATGTGACCAAACCACCCCTGTCCTAGTTCATCACTCTGATTTCCAGACATGTGAATGCATTTGGCTGCTGGAAAACTGCAGTGATTGGTCTGATAATACTAACTAACGTCCATAGGGGGACCCATTTTTCTCTGGCCCTTTCACGTGCCTTTTCAACAGGTTTTTATGTTGGGGGCGGGGGACCTTGACATACTTAGCACACAATTTTTATATATTTATATCTCATGCCTGAACTTTCATATTTACTCATACAACACTTTGATACTTTTGAATCCAAAAGTGTCCAAGAGACACATCTAAAGAATAGAGTGCGAAAGAGAGGAAGAAAGTAGCGAGCTTGATAATTAACAGTAAAATTACGCATCTTTTATTCACAAAATAAACTCCTATTTATAGGAATGAGGGTTATAAGATTGCATTTTGTATCCCTAGTAACGTGGGTACAACAAGGGGTATTTTGGTCAATACATAATTTATAGGGCCGGTAGGTAGATATGGCGTTCGACAGGGTAGACCTCGCGCTGAGCGACCTCACACCAGTAGGCCGAGGGAACGATCGACTGGGTCATTGCTTGGGCAGCTATGGCCGAAGGTTGGGTCGGGAAGTCTTGGTTGACTACTCAAGGTTTGGGCGGTTTTCATCGTTCGCCCTACTTGGTTGGGAACGCCTGCAGATTCGTCCCCTCGAAGCTTTGTGCTCATAAATTTTAGAAGGGTGGCTGAATTCTATCAGTCTTGGGACTATTTTTCTCACAGGCCGCGGGAACTGGGCCAATAAAGGGCTCTTGCCGGTGGGTACCAAACCACCAAGTCATCTTCTCAGTCGACCGTCATATATCTCTAAAATTTGTGCTGACACATTTTTGATATACACACTTTAAACCCATGCATGAAAAACTATATTTCACTTTTAAGAAGTGGTAATAATGCTTTTTTTGTGCGGTATCAAATTTTTGATTGCTATGCATGAAAATGTGGAAGTTTGGGTGTGAGATATGTAAATACATAAGAATATGGGTTATGCATGTAATGCCCCCCCTTTTTTTTTTGGTGAAACCTTATCAGGGTTCTCATCCACGATTAGAAAAGTAAAAACATCATTGTTGTTTTTGCTAATACAACTGACGAGTTGGCAACAGCAAAGAGAAGTAAAGAATAAGTATATGCAGATGGTACAGTCTTAATTGGAGGCAACCATGATCACGGTTAATGGAGGGATATATATTGTGAAGCTTGAACAGGATATACCAAACATGAATGTGGTTTGGCAGAAATGTGAAATTTGTGGAGTAAGAGCAGAATGCAAATTAGGATATCAAATTTCATTAGAAACAGATTTGTTGCAGTTTGACTGTTCCTTGAGCTTGCTTGTAAGTTTTCCTTTGGGAATTTTACGAGCAACTTCCACAAATGGTGTAAGCCAAAGATTTTACAAGCGCAGTCCCTTACTTTGAGGAACATTGGTTTTTTTCTTGGACTCAAAGTCAACATTGCACAAGCTCAACATTTTTTTCTTGGGCTGGACCTTTTTCTAGGCCTAAATAAAACCTTCACACAACTCAAAAATTCATCAAAAAGTTGGAAAACTCTTAGCGATGTATAAAAAAAAAAAAAAAAAAAAAAAAAAAAAAAAAAAACTAAATAATATCATGAGGGCATGAATACACAATTAAGTTGATGAGCTAGCCATATATTTTATGCAAGGGACAATTTAACTCAAGAAAGATGTGAAAATTAAAATAAGAAGCTCAGGATGAGACCATGCTTCAAGAATCTCAAACAAATTTCACAATAATAGCTTAAAGGAAACTTTTTAAATTGAGATCTCAAGTGTCTTGTGAAATACCATGAACATAAAAACCTCAGGGAGTAAGAAGAGGCTTAGAATTTGTTTCTAGAGCTTGACAGAATGCTAAAACTTGCAAAGAGCTAAGTTTCTTCACAATGCTAAAACCTTGTTGGAGCTCGTTTGAACCCAAAGTTTGGGTGAAGTTGCGCTGATTTTGAAAGTAACCATGCTTGCATTCCAATCGATCAAAATTCTCATCAAATAAACATTTAAAAAGTCATCTCCTAGAAGATTCTTAGCTATGCAGACAATGTACTAAGTGAGATTAGGGTTTTAAAAATCAAATTAGATTTAATTAGTTGAATTGTTGAACTGTCTGATTGCTGAATTAGTACATGTTTTAGAGAACCAAATCATTCTTTTAAATTGTTCAAAATAAAAAAAAATCACATATCTTATGCCATATAATTTTGATTAATCTATACATTGATGCCCTTAGATTAACAATCCCTTGAGAGCAAGAGAATATGTGATGGCCAAAAAATTGTCGCAAAGCAAGCGACCACTTCACGCAAGTATACGTGTCAAGTAGAAAACAATTTGCTAAAGTACCGAGTATCATTCTCACAGGGAAATGAGTTGAGAATAGTTCTTAATAGGTGAATCTACAGTTTACTAGCTATCTCATCTAGTTCAAAGTGATCAGAAAAATAGAAGAAGAAAATCCTGAGTCTAGCAAAGTTGACAAAAAACAAAAGCCATAGGAAGCATGAGTTGAAATTCTTAGGTTTCCTCAAGACTGTTAATGATTGTGCCTCTGCGATTTAGGTGTAGTGTTTGACTATGTTTTTCTAACAGTTTCCCTTATATGATTGTTGTGAATCAGGGACGATGTCTATTCTTAAGCCTATGCCTCGGTCTGAAGAAGAATTGAAAATCCATAAAGTTAAGTTGGACTTAACCTTATGGTGTTCTCTGTGTTTCCTTGGATCCCTTTTCTTGGGTGAAAAACCCAAATTAAAATATATCTATTTTAATAGGATTTTGTGGTTAATCCAATCGTTCCACTACAAAACAGACAGAAGTCACAGATTACGATAGGTCTTAACATCCTAACTGGCTAGATTAGGAATAAACGAAGGCTGGAGGGTTATCCCACACATTGACATCAAAAACTCAAAAAACGTATTATGAGAAACATGCGGAGAAAAACATAATTAGAAAACTATCCATGAATCACAGAGGCATGAAAAAGAAAGTTAGCTACTCATATCAAGAGATAAAATCACATGAAAACTCTTGAAAAACAAGCATGCAAACAACATGTTTATAAAACAAAAATAATTACTCACTGGTTTTTGAATCTTCCCTACGGCAAAGTAAGCAAACAACTCTCTCATACAATCTCTCCGAAAAACAAATAAAATAATAGAAAACCAAAAGAAAAAGCTCCATTTGTTCTCCCGAGAAGAAGAACAACATGGACCTCTCAAGCCTCTCTAAACCTTAGCCAATGAAGTATGGCAGCGTGACCATGTCCGAAGGGTGGTGTGGCCACGTTTGAGGACAATCTGCGAACAAATTGAACTAGCGTGACCACTCTTGCTCTCCAACGTAACCACACTATACACCTGGCGTGGCCACGCCAAAACCAACCGTGGTTATGCTAGGTTGAAAAATTCCCATATGATCATTTTTGCTCCAATTTGTGTGCTAATCATCTTGAAATTTGTAAAAATACATAAAAAACCTTAAAATAGCGTACTATCATAAAACAAAAGAAATAATTTGCATGAATTAGAGCATAAAATTATGAAAAATTGACGCATGTCAATACGCTCATTATAATATTTATTATAAATATGTTGATATTAAAATTTTGTTTTAATTAAACTTGTAGTCTATCACTCTGTTGGTTGTTTTATTATAAATTAAAATAAAGTAATAGTCTTGCAAAAGTAGTTTACTCCTTCATAAATTTATTTGACTAATTTTATGATAAAATTTTTTTGTTTTGAGAAATATATATATTTTTTTAAATCACAAAAAAATAATATTAATAGAATATTATATCATTAAGTTGCTATAAATAAATTTTAATATATATCACGTTATCATGATTTAGTCCCTAGTTAAATTTTAGTTGAAGCTTTAAACTTTGAACTTTTCCATCTTTTGATTCAATGTTTAATTTAATTTTGAAAAGCATGAGTGAGATATTATCTAAAATACGACTTATGGTAACAATATGAGAAGTGTTTAGGTGTCCTACCATTCTATAAAGTTAATTTTTCTCAGTTAGTTTAACACCAAATTGGATTTTGAAGGGACCCTCACTTACAAGTTTGAACTAGACAATTGATTTTTTGTAAATCAACCAAATGTAAGTAGGTAAAGGACCAAAACCCAAACAAAGTTATTGGGACAATATGACATGTGTTTAGTCCATCAATTGTACTCAAAAACCTTTTTCACCAACTAGCTTTACACCAAAGTAGGTAGCGAAAGGGACCAAGAACTTAGTTTGAATTAGGTTGTTGATATTTTGTAAAATTAGTCAATTGAATGTGGTTGATGGACTCTTAGCTAAGTTATGGTTCTCATGCCTAATGGGAAATTTGTTTGCTTTCACTTGATATGATCTTTAGTTTCTTGCCTTATTGCAGAGCAGCCCTTTTTACTAACACAAAATACTATTTTTTTCATGTCTAAAATGTTAGATTCTGATATTTCTTCGAGCTATGCTATAACCTTATTGGCTCAAAATAAATTAGAAAGGTTGGGGAAGAATTGTTGCTAGATAAGATCTTAACTAGCTCAATAATGTAAATTACACGAGTAACATCTTGATCTAAAGGCCATAAGAAGTCAGACTCCTCTGTCATTTTTGAAGTCCTCTTTTTATTGACAGGATCTAGGTCCTTAAGTGCTATAGAGGCATAGGCGATAAACACTACTAGATCAATCCGACAGACACTGTTAGATCAATCTGATAAGTTTGGTGATAGTTTCAGACTCTTTTTTAGACTGGTGGATATTCCTCTTTTGAGTAGGCATGTGAGCCTACTTAGGCTTTGTGGGTAGATGCTTTGTACCTGGCTGGGCAAGTCTTCTTTGGATGTGGTTGGCATGTCCGCCTTGAACCTGGCATGAAAATTTCATCTCAAGCTTGATTGGCGAGTCTTCTTGAAACGCAGCTAGCTAGTTTGTCTCTTTGCTCCAATTTTGGGCGAGTTCACCCCTTGGGTATATATTTTGAACAACTCTCTCAAATCAAAACTAGAATCAAAAGCTATAATACTCTAGAAGTTCAAATGTTAAACATAAGAGAAATTCTAAGATTCAAGAATCTTAACGTATTATCTAAAATGTAAAATAATGCCTGAAGTAAGCTTTACAAAATGAGATTTAAGGTGGCTAGATGAGAAACTCTGGGTAAGGGATGCTTAGGGAGGAACACGAGGATTAAAGGTCTGTTTGAGGCAACTTTATCAGAATAAGTTAATATTAGAATAAACTGACTTGCTGTTTGGTGCAGCTTATTCAGAACAGCTTACTGGGAGCTGTTGTTGGATAAATGATCATTCTGCCCATGTTTGGTTAAACTGTTTGCAACATAACTGTTTATGGAAAATAATAGATAAAAAAATGTCTCAAAATATTACAGTTCAATTAAAATATATTGTTCACCACTTCGTGAGTATCAAATACAAATAAAATAAGAAGAAATATAATAAGATGCTCAACACAAATGAAGTATAAAATTATTAAAAAAAAATAAATTATTGAAAAAAACATAAGAACACAAAAGAATTATGTGGTTCGGTCAAAGACCTACATCCGCAGTAAGACATCGAACATGTTTTATTATGCATTTGTCTAAGGTTACATAGATTTGAATCTCAACGGAGAACACTACAACATTCTCTCAACTTCCTCTATACAATCAATTTTTCATATGTTTCCTCCCTTCACATATGTACCTCAACTAAACAAAAGTTGCATCACATAAACTGCAGCAAATTCCATCACAGAAGCTGCAGCTAAGGAGAAATTGCAGCTAATAACATTACCAATATAACCTGCAACAAATTCCATAAAAAAAACTGTAGCTAAACAGAAGCTGCAACTAAACGGAAATGACCCATCAAAAACTTCACCAAATCATGAAGCTTTGAAAACCATGAAATGCTATTATTGAACTTCTCAACTTGGCAACCTTATTAATAAAATGAAGCTTTGAAAACCATGAACCCAATGCAAACTTCTGCATCAAATACATAAAACCAGAAGCTGCTGATCAAGCTACTTCGACAATTACATGAACTATGAATTGCACCTAATTCAGATCAAACTGCAACAAATAGAGAGCAGCAAAGAGAGAAACGATGAACTGCAGCTAATGGAGAAAACACCCATTACAGGAAACCCAATTTTCAAGTGTAACATACAGAAAAAAAATGGATATCTATAACTAGCATTTTTCAATCCATGAAAATCTCCACCAATTAAAGTTTGCTAAAGAAGAGAAACACTTAAAACACTGTAAGGAGTCATCAAAACCGACCCTTAAAAGAAACATGACTTCTAAACCATCAAGGTTATCTTAATAACTACAAAAAGAGAAAAGCCACGAGATGCAGTGGACCCATGATACAAGATTCTTGCCTGTCAAAATTCCTCAAGACCATATGAATTCGTTGAATATAAAACAATTCCGTTTCAACATACATCTCCATGAACCTACCAATTTTGACAATTTAATCGCGTTTACATTTTAGTCTTTTTAATAAAAGTATAAACAGTTGCACACACAATTATAAATTTCATTTTTGATTTAGTCATCATCTTTTTGTCTTAAAAGCATGTTTGCATCACTTAAGCTTTCCTTAAGAGAATTTAGCTAACATATTTGAAGACACATGGATAGGTTTACTCACGAAAATATTTGTGCTCATCAAAAGAATAGGCATTGTTAACATGAAAGATGAGAATTCATGAGAAAGATTTATTTTTTAAAAAAGAAATTTTCATTATCTCAACTTGGAATTATTGTTTTTGCATTTTTTTTTCTTTGTTGGTGTAGAAACTCTATGTACTCGAGTTTTATGAGTCTACTAGGGGCATTTAGGTCAACCACGGTCAATCTCACCGCTTGGATTAAGTCCACTAGTCCCATATACTTAACTTGGTTATGTTGGGTTTCTAGGTAGGTTGAGATAGATTCCTAGGGTTAACCACGTCAATAAATTTTGGTCTAGTATATGGCTTTACAATTAGGCATGGTTTATTTCATGGACTGCAAAGCTAACCAAGGTTAAGTAAGTCCAATTCTAGTTTGGGGTGCGGATTAATTTAGGTTCAATCTAACATATGAGTTTTCAACATAATGTTTTTGAAGTTGACCAAGGCTTTACGAAGATTAGGGTAAAATCATCAAAATTTCTCATAGTGCTGTTGTAAGAGGCTTGAATGATTGAATTTCTTTGCAGTTTTTCCTATTTCAATTTTTGGATAAACTATCAATGTCATTAAGATGAACAATTACTTTCCATCTATTGAATAAGGACCCTGCTATTAGTTCTTAAAATGAAAAGCTACTTTCCATCAATGTCATTAAGGTGAACAACTACATTCCACCTATTGCATAGGAAATCTGCTATCAGTTCTGAAAATCATTTTATAATTATTCTTTTTATCATGAATTTAACTCATACTCATTTGTAATAGCACTCTTTCTTTTTATTCATATTGTTGTCATTTTATACGCACGTGGTCCTCTTAGATAGGGCCTTTACAATTCTTATATTATTTGCTAAGTAAATATTAGTTTCAATTATTCTGTTCATCTTAAAAATTATATTCTTGTTTTTTATTGTGGTCTTTCAACCTAAAAAATTATTGATTGCGGATACCTATAAAAATAAAATTTCAGTCATTTCTGAGAGGTAGATTCTTACAAAATGGAAGGCCCCAAGAGTATGAGAGACCACCCTCCGTGGCAGCAAGAGAACTAGGTCAGCTAAGACAACGGCATCCCGTTTCTGAATTAAGGTACATTTTCTTCCTTAAGCATTAGTCATTATAGTATAACCTAATTTTTTGTGTCGTTTGGTTTGAAAAATTGTTGGACCTTTGAATCCAAAAGTTACACTTCAACTTTACGCTCAAAGCATTTAATATTTTCTCGAGTGCAGCAACAAGGTGTAATGCATGAAACCTCACATTCCATATGCATTATGAACTATCGTGCCATATGGTTTCTTTTTTGAATTTTGTACAACCAGTGTCTATGCTTTCTTGACTTTTTTATTGGCCTCAAGTATGCCATGATTTATTTTTCCCCCTTTTTTTAATTCTTTTAATGCCATGTTTTCTAATTTTTTTAGTAAGTGTAAAGAGTTACCCTCAAAATTATATTTTTATTCAAAAAAATGAGATAGGGAGGTTTGCTAATTCCGATATGGGGCCAATGATGGAAACATAAACATGAGAAAATTATATAAGATTTTTATGGACTTAGTCTTAAGATATGGAGTGGGTTTGATCAAATTACAAAAAAAGAAAAAAAAAGAAAAAAAAATTCTGATGTTTCTGTTAACATATATTTATAAATATTAACCTTGGCTTGGATAAAAGATAAGGATGGTTGTGGGATTGGTGGCAGGAGCATCAGTGGGTTGTGGTGGAGGAATTAGTGTTTTATAAGTGAGAGGCTAATGAATGGCTGACTCTAGGAGTTTTAAAATAAAAAAAAAAAAATTCAAATTTTCGATGGTGGTTGGTTATGAGGTATCAGAAGTAAGAATACTTGGATTAGATTCAAACTATGACACAGTTTACTGAGATATCTGTTGAAGGATTCATTTGTAGTGGATTCATGTTAATTTAGGGAAATGTTGCACAATCTTGCCCTTGAGCTAGAGAAAAGGTACAGAACCCTGAAGGGCAATAGGGAGAGAGAGGGAGTGAACTCATCCTAAAAGGATGGATGGATCCTTGGTCAGTCTAGGGAGGGCAGAAAATAATGTCTAAGCAATTATTTTTCATTTTTCTTTAACTGACTTCTTTTACAAGGAAAAATATATAGAGACTGTAATAAGGAGGTTTTTCATCATATGTTAAAGGCCTCTTTCTATTTTCCAAAGAATACTAAATGATATAAAAATACAATTAAAGAAAACATGAATGCAACTCACATTGCCCAAACATAAATTGTAAGGATAAATTCTCTAGTCAAATTATTGAAGGGTCAAGCCAGAAACTTGGTCTTATATCATTGTAGATGGGCCTGTTTGTAGCTGCATCTTTTATGCGAAGCTGATGTATTTATGTATAACAAGTTTGAGGATAGCTTAGGAAAGGATGCGTGGCCTTAGTGTGACTGTGGGGAGAGCGAGCACATCCCAAGGCGAATAGGGGAGATGAGAGTAGCATTCTGATGCTAGTGCTTTTTATTCAATTTCAGTTGGTTTTCTTCATACACAAGGGTCCTATATATGGAGTGAAAGAAGGAATTTTCATTACATGTTTGAAACTTCCTCATGCTTTCATACAGGGACAAATGCGATAAAATATGATAGAAATTGACATAATCATAGACATAAATAAATTGTTCATTTAAATGATTAAAGAACCGTGTTTAAAAATTGATTGAATATTATTTTGGATGGATCTATATATAATTATATTATTTGTGACACTTCATTGGCATCTGCACCCCTTTGTCTAGTAATTTTTAACTTGAGGCAGCAGGTGGCTTAATTTGAATCAATTTGAGAGTATTGAGTGTGCAATAAAGCAAGAGGAAAAAAGAAAGCAGCGGCACAAAAATATTTTGATCTCTAGTCTCAACATTTATGCCTTCTCACAGGTTACTGTGATAACTCACACAAGCTCAAATATAAAGTTTTAATAGGTTTGGTTAAAAGGTGATGAGGAGTATATGTAAAGAGGAAGAACAAGAAAAATAAGAAGAAATTGGCGAGGAAGGGGATGAAAAGTTTTTTTTTAAAAGGGATTTAAACCCTTGCTATATCTTTGATAGACTAAGGGCAAGCCCACTTGAAATGCTACTCATTGGCAAGAGGAATGTGATTATAGAGAGAATGAGTAGAACAGGGGGTTAAGGAGGACTACAGGATCGGGGAAGTAGATAAGGTTAGCGTATTGGGTATGAGAAAAAGAAACCAGGATTA